CGCCCTGCCACCGAACCACCGTTCATCCTTTGTTCTTTCTGCATAGTCTACCCTGTCTACTTTGTTCCCCTGACTAGTTCCTGTCTTAGCAAGTTTTTAAACCATTTTTAGCGCAGGAGGAAGATCGCTTTCAAGAATGGCAAGCTCCTTTCGTCACCTTTGCTTTGGAACTGAATATCGCCTGTCTGTCTGTCTTGTGGTCGTCTCATCTCTTCTTTGCTTCACACAGATCCTTTCGAAAGCCAGACCCGCCAGAGAGCCGCTCTCAGCCCTCCCCTGCCCAAAACAACACTTGCTTGCTTGTTTGCCCAGGCCCGCTGTGGAACCTGTGGAGCCGTTCCACAGCTATCGCACCTGCCGCCCAAGAATGCCACCTCGAAATATGGAGTATTGTGCTGCAGTTGTACGAATGTACGGAATACACTTGACCACCACCACGAGAAGAATTACGCAACGTCACCCTCGACGCGTCTGTCCTTCCACTTTTCATTTTGAACCTCGTCCTTTGACTGTCACGTGTGTCGCGTTGTCCATTACTTCTTTCATACAGGTCTTTCTGACTCCGTCCCCTTCCTTCGCGGACTTGGCCATTTCTCGTATTCGCCGTGAAGTGCCTCCATCCTAAATCTTAACGTTTCTCTTTGCTCTTTTCCCCATCCCTTGCGGAGTCCTCGGGGCAAGCTGCGCCTCGTTGAAGGACGACGCTTTATCTCGCGATGTTGAGCACCCATGGACTGTTATGGCAAATTCATGAGGGTAATACGTGTCGAGCGTCCTTGGTCCCTACGGTCCAAGCTCTTTGGAGTACATAGTATTAACCCACAACGTAATAATGCAATAATACGGAGCAGTCTACAAACTAGTACCTGGTCGTTTCATCCCAGGAAACAATTAAAACGGGCTCGTTTGACGGTGCCTTACAGTATGCTCCACGGCAAGCACGGGTGTACCTGACTATTTCAAAAGCGCGTGTGTGCAGGGCAAGCCCCAGCCGCTTTTGTTTCTATTCTTTTCACCCGAGCCGGTTTGTTTCAAAAAATTTAAAGAAGAAACTGCAAACAAAGTTGCAGATAGGGCTAGGATGTACACACTATGTCCTTGTCCGAATTGCAAACAAAAGATTGGACTATGGATATTGCCCGCCGTCCGTACCACCGCTCGAAACCGATGTAGTGCAACAAGCGTTTACGCAAAAGAGAGCACGCGTTTATATCAAACCGTCAATTCTGCTACCATGGTAAGGAGACCCCTTTGCTAGCTTGATATCGCCGTTGCTCACCAGGAGAGAGAGATCGCTCCAAAACGGGGACATACTCATCACCCAAGAGGCAACACATATCCTTCTCAACAACACAAGGACATCGCAGTAAGGGGGTACGCGAGCAATTACCTAGACAAAAACTGCACAATAGATAACGCCGTCAAGATACGCCGTAACAGACACACACACACGACTTACATCATTCTTCTCTCAAGAGCTACCTCTTCTTTTCACCTTCATCCTGAAGCTCCGGAAACGCCCTGACAGCAGTTCCGTCCCCTCGTCGCCCCTTGTCTTGCAACGTAAGTAGGCAGTTGGCGTGCGCACTGTTTGCAACTGGAAATAGAAACTCTTTAAAATACACGATGCCGGCAAACGAAAACAAAAACGAGCATAACCGAAATCAAGCATGAAATGAAAATAGCGCATAAAGGCACGAAAGGAGTAGAGGCAGAAAGCAGACAGTACAGATGCAAAATCAATATTAAAACGGAGAGGGGCCGTATCGAACGTGTCATAGGACAAGAACGGAGGACTAGGTTCGTGCTTGTCACTGGCATGAGTGTGGCCGATCGCATGGGCGAGTCATTGGCGGCTTAAGATGTGGTATGTTGAAGAATGACTTGCGTCGAGTCGAGTCGGGTCGGTTCCGGTCCGTGTTGCTTGCGTAGAAAAAATAAATAAATCAAAGCTTACCTTGCTAAACTGATGACGAAAAGAGTCGTAGATGAGAAAAATGTTGCTGTGCTGCTTTATGTTGGTTAAGAAGAATGAGAAACGGATAGAATCATTACCAATTTGGCAACAGGGTATTATAAGGAGAAAATGGGTATGGGAGGTAGAAGGTGAAAGAAGAAAAAACAAAAGAGCGTCTTTGCGAAAATGTGCATTCAAGAGAATGGCGAAAAAAGTGGAAAGAGGACAACAAAGCCATAAATTGACTTCATTGGGTCGACAAACTTGGCGGAATATCTGGCGAAGGTATGGACTTCATATCATTTCGCGAGTATCCCTATCAGGGGTCGACATTCGCTGGTTGTTGTATCATGGCGTGTTGCCAGTCCGGACTCGTTTGACATCTACGGTGGAGTTAGCAATGGGTCGTGCTTGAGTACTGCGTGATCTGCTTCTAAATGGATGCTCACCTGGTAGGTCACCAAGCAGGGCATCGCCCGACTCATCCACGTCTCTCGTTCGCTTTCCTGAGGCTGCTGGGGAGGCATCTGTTGCGTCGGCAGGAGCCGTGTTCTTAATTTCTACATCCCAGTCGATCTCATCAGCGCCCGAGTCGACGACTGCGTGGGTCTCTTCTCCTGCAGGGCGGCTGTCCTCGTAGTCGATCTCATCATTGTCCAGGGTAGCTGTTGCACTTGTGTCAAGAGACGGTTCGAGATCATCGGCCTTGTTGCTAGTCTCCAAAGTTGCCGCCGACGTGGCCGCATCAATGTCGCCACCCAGGTCCAGAAAGTCGTCTTGGTGTTCCCGCCGGTCTTCATGACCCGCAGCGTCCACGGTCGCAACGTCCCGGTCATGGCTGACAATGTCGCCGTCGTCGTTGATATCTTCCAGAAGATCTAGGTCATCGCCCTGATCCAGTTTGGCCTCGTCGGCAGCAAGGCCATCAATAAGGTTGTCTTCCGCGTTTGCAAACTCAAACTCGTCTCCAACATCAGCATGCGGCGTGGGCAAGTCAGTCACACCTTCTGGGCCCAGATGGGCGCCGTCAACACTGTCGTCGACCTCTTCGTTGGTGTAATTGATGTAATCAATTTCCTCCGCGGCATCGGCATCCTCGTCGGCTGTTGGCGTGTCAAGTTCAGGCTGGGCAGCCTCCTTATCAGCGGCTTCGGCAAAGCTTTGGCTGGCAACGCTCTCAGCATCGTCGAAAGACCCTGCCATATCAATGTCGTCCGCGGCGTCTTCCTCGATGTCGTCTTCAATCTCTTCATCGTCGTCTTCCTCGACTATCTCGTCAACCTCACCATCTGGCGAGGAGTCGTCCGAGTCTGCTTCTGCCTCGCCGCTGTCATCCGAAGACTCATCTACACGAGTACTTGCCGACGGGAACGCGGAGAGGCCTTTGCCCGAGCCAGCACCGCCAACAAGGTCTTTCAAACGCAGTAGACAGTTAGGGCGAGTGCTCAACGTGATATGCACACCTTTCGTGGACTCTGAGTCATCATTCTTAACGAGCGTGTTGTGCAGAGCCAACAGATTGTGGAAGGTCACCTGGCTTAGCAGTGCCTCGGTCGTAGTCTTGAGAAAAAATTAGTATTCTGGCGAAATCAGGAGCAGTATCTAGGGATAGGGGCAAAACATACCTCTCCAAACTCGAGTCCCAGCTCATTGACTCGGATCAAAATCTCATCGCTGGCACGGACCCACGAGGAAATACTCGACCGGATAGTCTGCAAAAACCTGGAGAGAGGATAGTTCAGAGCCTCATAGTCTTCCAGATAGAACATGTCGGGGTCCTCAACACCGGGTGTCTTGAAAAGGGGGCAGACTTGGTCGCCCCATGTGACCATGACGTCAAAAGTTGACACTGGGTAGAAGTTCCGGAGAGCACCCAGACCCGAGTCTGAGTCGCTGTCCTCTTCATCGTTTTCATCACGGTTATAGTCCTGACCAGTACCGTCACTTTCGTCATGGTCGACCTCAGCATGCTGTCCACGGTTATCGTCGTTTTCATCTTCGTCTTCTTCTTCCTCGTCTTCTTCGTCTTCCTGTTTGGACTCGGCCATCTCTCCGTCTTCGTCATCCTCGTCATACTCGTGGGAGTCATCTCCTTCTTGTTCGTACTCTCCGTGGTCATTTCGGTCATGCTCACCATGACCCTCGTGCTCCTCGTGCTCCTCGTGCTCCTCGTGTTCTCCATGCTCTCCGTGCTCCCCCTCTCCGCCGTGGCTGTCGTCAGCGTCATCGAATCCGAAGTCAATATCGTTATGCTCGCGGTGTTTGCCACCAGTCTCATGGTGCTCTTGCGACTCCGAGACATCACCATCGTGGCTCTGTGCGGCATGGTGGTCACCGTTGTGACTGTCTTGTGTCGTTGTCGTAGCGTGGATTTCAGTGTCTTCGTAGTCGATCTCGTCGGCGGCGTCGTCGTTTGTAGGTGCGTTATTTTCTTGGTCGGCGCGGATGTTGTCTGCCTCTGCAGTGGCGATCTCTTCTGCGGCATCGTGGTGTGTCTCTTCCTCGTAGTTGATCTCATCCAAATCGGCTCCAATCTCAATCTTGGTCAAGTTCGATGTCGGGCCCTCGCCGTCATCTCGTTCCAGGTCGGCACCGCCGCCGAGGTCCAAGTCAAAGTCCTCGCCCGCGACATCCGTTGCCTTGACGTCAAGCGTGAGATCCACTTCCTCGGCGATGGCCAGAGTCGGCCCATCCAATGATAGTTCTGTCATAGCGTCTCTATGTTCGAATAAAGGTCGCTATTTGAGATGGCAAATAGTGTGTTATCCTCGCGTTCCGACAGACGTGGTCGTCAGGGGTGGTGCTAAGTTGCAGTGAGGTGAAACCAACGCCACTTTATCATATCTTGCTCAAGTCTCGAGACGAAACTGACATGTATCTTGCTGCCTGTCAAAGAGGCTCCAATGTATCAGATCAAAGGGGACGCTTGATGCCCTGGCTAGGTTACCGAGATGGGGGGACTGCCTTGTGGCGGGAGGCAAAGGATGACGAAGATGAATGAAGAAGCCAGCAAACGCAATGTAAATCGAATGATAGTAAGAAGATGCCTCGTGCAGGCGTAGAACAGGTCGAAAGTGAATGTTATGAAGTAAGGAGGGGTCTGGAAGAGTGGAAGGGTATAGGAGTGAAGAGCTCCTGGATCGTTGGCCGTTATAGAAAGAACAAGAGTAGAAAGGGTGTCCTGGCCTCAGAACGGTGCGGCTGCCTTTCGCAGGTTTGGGATAAATTTCACGAAGAAAGCGCGACCATGAGCGGGCGTGTAGCGCTTGCCGCACATGGACTAGCGTATTTCATCTCCTTCCCCTCCCAAGAGCTGTTGGCTGAGAGCACAGCCTGGTGCCCGCTGAGCACTGTGCTGTGCGCACGGACCAAGACGTTTGCGAAGGGGACAACTAATGTGAAAATGGTGCCCCCTAATGAGAGAGGGGCGGATTGGCGATTTGGGCACCTCGCCGACCGACTTCACGACCTCTCGCTCGAACAACATTGCTTTGTGCCTCTTCACGTCCCTATATCGCGGATCCAACGACGACCAGTCCTCCACGATTCAACAACAAGCTTCAACATGGTACGAAGGATCCAGTCGAACCCACAGACCAGAGCAAATGGCCGTCCGCGACCGCCTCTTTGGCATCTGTCTTTCCCTATGATAGCTCCTTTCACATGTGCAACCTATGGCTAACCGACGATGCCTTGGACGCTCTGCGTAGGTTGTCCTCGCCGCGTCCATCTGCACCCGAGGCGGTAAAGCCGTGCTCTCGCGTCTCTTCCGCGAGATGCCCCGGTCCCGCGTCGAAGCGCTGCTTGCCTCCTTTCCCAAGCTTGCCGACAGCGGCACCCAGCACACCACCGTTGAGCAGGACAACGTCCGCTTCGTCTACCAGCCCCTCGATGAGCTTTACATGGTTCTTATCACGAACCTCCAGTCCAACATCCTGCAGGACATCGACTCGCTGCACCTCTTCGCACAGGTGGTGACGGGGCTGTGCAAGTCGCTCGACGAGCGCGAGATCACGCGCAATGCGTTCGAGCTGCTGAGCGCGTTCGACGAGCTGGTGACGCAGGGCTACCGCGAAAACCTGACCATGAGCCAGATCAAGACGTTTATGGAGATGGAGAGTCACGAGGAACGCATACAGGAGATTATTGCTCGTGTATGTAGACCGCCACGGTCGTGGCTTTGGTTCACCGTTGACCCTCTACACTGGACATCGTCACTAACCAACTGACCCGTTGAACAGAACAAGGAACTAGAAGCCACAGAAGAGCGCAAGCGGAAAGCGAAGCAGCTGGAGATGCAGCGCAAGGAGTCTGCACGGCGGGGCATCAGCAGCGCGCCGCGCACACCTGTGTACCCGACATACACACCGCCAGTGCAGACCACGACGGAGACCTACGACTCCTACGAAGCGGAGAAGAAGAAGAACAGGTGTGCTTCCAATGGCTAAAAATCAGGGCGTGTGTGTTTTGCAACGGACGATGGCTTACTTTACATGTCTCTTTCTAGACCAGCAACTACCCTCAAGGGCAAGGGCATGCAGCTCGGCAAAAAGTCCAAGACGACCGACATGTACGAGCGGGTTCGTGGCGAACTTGGCCCCGAGGCCGATACGCTCGTAGCTGCCCCTGCGCCGGCCGCTACCCCTGCAGCAGACCACACCGCCAGCCGTGCGTCGACAACGCTGGACCGCGACGCCATTCACATTGTGGTCAACGAGTCGGTCAACGCCAAAATCACACGGGACGGTGTCGTGAACTCGCTGGCCATTAGCGGCGACCTCAACCTGCGCGTGTCGGATGCCAGTCTCACCAAGGTCAAGCTGAACCTTGACGCGCAACCGACACACGGCGCTCAGTTCCGGACGCACCCCAACGTCGACAAGAACCTGTTCAACTCGTCCAGGATCATCCAGATGAGCAACACCGCCAAGGGCTTCCCCGTCAACCAGTCGGTCGGTGTGCTGCGGTGGCGGGCGTCGCCCAAGGTGGACGATACGGCGGCTCTGCCCATCAGCTTCACGGTGTGGGTGAACAAAGACGGCGACGGTAACTGCACCCTGACGGTGGAGTACGAGCTGACGGGTGGCGATGCACTGGACGACGTCGTGGTGTCGATCCCGTTCGCAGTCGAGCCCACGGTGTCGAGCTTTGACGCGACATATGAAGTCGCCGGCGACAGCATCGAGTGGCAGGTGGGCTCGGTGGACGAGAACAACGCTTCGGGCTCGTTTGAGTTTGACGCACAGACGGACGACGAGAACGATTTCTTCCCCATGCAGGTCCGCTTCTCCAAGTCGACGCCGTTCGTTTCTGTCGATGTGAGTTTTACCTGCGTTTCCTCTCCGACGTTATTTTTGTTACGTACGTTACATGTTTCTTACTGACTATCTTAGGTGACTTCGGTCGAACTGGTTGAGATGGATGAGGAGGTGGCGTTCTCCAAGGACGTCAAGTGCACGGCGGATAACTACTCGATCGAGTAGACGTAAGCGAACGCAACGTGCAAGGTCGATACGGCATCTGGGAAACCAAGACAAGCCGGTTGCCACGGCTTACAAATATGAGTTTATAGACACGGACTGGCCGAAAGGTCATCTGATGGGGCCGGTGGTAAACCAAAAAGGAAGCTCTAGCTTATTCTTTGATATGTGTTTTTGTTGGCTGTTTTCAGTGGTTTTGTTTTTCATAATACAGGGTCCCATTCCGTTTTTTTTTCTCTCCGGGAACAGAAAAGAAAAGAATTTTTATCCCTCGTCCAAACCCAGCTCCTTGTTGCCAGGCGTCAGCGTGTGGTCAACGTCAAAGCCTTGTTGGCCGCCTTTTTGTCTTCTTGGCAACATAACGGCCAGCGGCATCGCAGCATGATGTCACATGGCAACGTAACTTGTAGCCACCTGTGCATCATGCCATTCCGGATCTGTCCAAAACAGGCGAACGCGAGTAAAAGGCACAAAATAAGCGAAATACGACTAGACGAAGACAAATGCCGGCCGTTTCTCGTAAGCTATGCGCTTTTTTCATATGAGAAATGGCTCTGGAATCGTAAAGATGCCGAGACTTTCGGACTCGGCAATCTCGAGTGCCGGGTTATTAGTGCCATTGACTCATGGCTATGCCATTTTCGCGCGCGGTCCGTTGGTGTATCACAAAGCGGAGCGGGTCAGCTAGTTCGGCCGTACATTAACACGTGACAGCTCTCGGAAGCTTAAGAAGCCGAACGATCGCCGCCCTCATATTGACGACTGCTCAGTTGGTTTTTTGGTTGTTCAAGCTCTGCGACAAGTTCAAGTACATTGTCATAATCTCACCATCAAACTATTGCTGCATTGATCAATCATCACCACCATGGCCTCCAACCAAGCGAAAGTCATTCTTCACTGGTACGAATTGCTCTATCTTTTTCGGTGCCTTTCCGCAGCTTCGTTGGACCTACATGTGCCTTCCAAAAGCTTTTGTCGTGTATCAATCTCGACAGTGCATATACTAATACAGATGCTTCTTCTCCAGGCTCGACGGCTCTCGCGCCCAGCGTATCCTCTGGCTCATGCGTACGTGCAATGCCACAAAACAGCATCCTCATGCTCTCCCAGGAACACGTCCTTAATTACACGTGATACTGACCACTCTGTCGCCACAGACGAGCTGAAGGTGCCGCATGAGCTCAAGATCTACCACCGCGAGAAAACGGCGTTTGCTCCTCCGGAACTCGCCAAAATCCACCCTCTCGGCAAGTCGCCAGTAATCACTGTGATCCCGCCTGCGAGCGCCGGTGCCGATGCGAAGGAGCTGGTTCTTGCTGAAAGCGGCTTCATCATCGACTACCTCTGCGAGCACTGGGGCCACAACTCGTCCCTTGTGCCCAAGAAGTGGAAGGACGGCCAGGAGGGTGCCGTCGGCGGCGAGACGGCCGCGTGGCTGCGGTACCAGTACCTCCTGTACTTTGCCGAGGGCTCGCTGATGCCCTTCCTCGTCTTCTCCCTCGTGACATCCAGTAAGCGGGCAAATACGTTGGCGTGTGATGCATCTGGATGAGCCTTGCTAACCCAACAGACCTTCGCGGGCCCCAGGTGCCGTGGCTGATCCGGCCCATCTCCAGCGCCATTGCCAACAAGATCAACAACGTCTTCATCGAGCCCAATGTGCGCAAGAATATCGAGCTGCTCGAGTCGTACCTGACCACGCCACCGGCTGAAGGTGACGGCACCGGCTACATCTGCGGCGACCGCTTGACCGCCGCCGACATCATGCTAAGTTACCCACTCTTTGGCGTGCGAGAACGCGCTGGTGGGTTCACCATTGACGGCAAGTCCTTCCAGGAAAGATTCCCCAAGACGATGGAGTACCTTGGCCGGCTGGAGAATGAGCCGGGATACCTCCAGTCAGTCGAGACGATTAAGAAGCTGGAGGGCAAGTTCAAGGTCCTTCCGGATTCGATGTAAGTGGTCGATGATAAGGACGGTGCGGAGCTTGTATGAGGTCTATACTTGGTATAGACATCGGTGTTTTTGCTTTACCAATCTTTACTTTTCCCTTTCTTTAATAGTAGATATCGTATCGTTTGTTCGTAATACCATTCTAAATACCATGGTTTTCAAACTCCGCTGGTTTTCTCCATGACCGTCGGTTGGTGAGACGCAAGGCTCTGAAAAGCTGCGTGCTGACAATACGGCTGTGCTGCGGTCCCCACTCCACTGATTGCATGACGTAAGTTCCTGCAGAATTAGACAGGCACAGGGCTTTCGGACTGGAAACGAATTTACTTCAGCAACTGTTGAGGCAGGAACAGATTGGTTTTGAAGTCGCTGTTCAGAACTCAAGGTAAGTGCGAACGTCACAACACTTCACTTCTTTCTGTGAACAAAAACACAGTCGATATTGATACACCATAACTGTGAAGGCGGGTATCACTTCTTGTACTCAACAGAACAGGAAGAAAATGTCTTCGTGGGGGTAAGAAAGTGTATCTGACGTTGCATTGGCTGTTCCTCTATTTTCAATTCCGCGTATGCAAAAGTGCAGCGCAGGTCAGCTCCCAGGGGTTGAACGCTCCTTCCTTCCTTTTCCCTTCCTCCTTCCTTCCTTCTCAAATCAGACGAAACGAAGGATGAGAGTGATTTCAGGAAGGAACAATGTGCCAATCGAGCCTGCCAATTGCAACAATGGGTCGGACCAGAACACAAGTTGGGAAACCAGATGAAATCCTCCTTATTTCGGGCCAACAAGCGATACTACTGTGATGTTTCCAACAGCAACATATCCCTCCTTCGACCCCCCATGCGTCTCTCTTAGTCTCAGTTGTTCACCACAACTCACTGTTCAATCTCGGCCGCCCGACCGTTGTATCCAACCTGTGCCCGGTTGTTACAGCCCAGCAGCCACCCTGCCCAATTGCTGTTCAACACTCGTGTTTTTCGGATTCGTATTTCGCGTTCCAGTCCCCAATCCAGGAAGGATGCTAAAGGATGCTGGTTTCCATCACCGCCACTGCACTGACACCAGGCTAGCTTCGGGCGACTTTTCGCCTTTCTTGGCCGGCGACGGAGCATCTTTCTCAGTTTGGTCCCTGCCTTGCTCTTCTTGGCTCGCGTGCCCACCCTGCGATTCAGTGCCCTCATAACAGCCATATAACAAGGACATGCAAATGATTTGAGTACCTGCTGGTCAATTGTTGCCTTCAATCGACCGCCACCAACGGTGGGTAAGGCACTAAGCCTTGCTGTTTGTACGGACGCATCTTCCACCGTTTCCTTACGTCGTCGAAAGCTCTAATTTGCTGCTGTGACAAGACACTCTTTTGAAAAAACCAGTCAGCACTTAATTCGGTCTCCAGATAGTGCTGTCATCCTTCGTCACAGCCGAGTGAGATTCCGGGGGATGCTTATTGTCGCATGTGAGAATTGGGTTCCTTATTGAATATCAACATTATTCCTTCCTTTTATCTCGACTAGCTCCTCATATCTTGGCAATGTTTTCCTCCTTCCTTTTTACGACTGTCTTCTCATTTTCTCTCTTCCTATCTTTCTGGTTCTCAATTCCTTCTCACTATTAGTCTACATTCACAACGGCTCGTGGTTCCCTTTGTTCCCCCTTCGCGCTTATTCGCCCAGTTTAACTCAGCCAACGCCCAAGTGGCCCCTACAGCATCGTCCCATCCCGTCTCTTTGTGCCCTGTCAAGGGAATTCTTATCTCTTTATGTCCCCTGGCCTTGTCAAGCCCACAAGAATCACCACTCACGAAGTCACGCTAGCTCTCCTTGTGGTGTTTCCACGCAGACTATTACAGACACAAATAAGGCTACTGCCAGCGGATCGTGGGTATTTGCCCCCGGAAGTGTCGGCAGAGCTTTATTTATTTTCCTCTGCCTGCTTTATTAAGTTGTTCAGGTTCAGATCATTTTTGCCCTCTTCACAAATTCGACATCTCTCCATCAAACCAACCAATTATTGCATGCCAATTGAGGCTCTTCCCGCTGTTCCTGAGCTTTTGAGCCGCATGCTTGGCCCAAGCCTGTGCCGTTTCTAGTGACATACTTTTTGTACAGCAAAACGACCATACCATACAGCTACTCGCAACTCCCAAACTCGAGGCCCGATTGCATGGTATCTCGAGTACACCTACTCGGACATCATGCAAAATAGCACATCCAATCCACAGGCACCTGCAGGTGGTCCTCATTCAACCACGATGACAACTATGGATTCCGCATCGGGGCTTGGCGTCCCAGACGCACCGGCAGCGCCCAGATCGTCTGAAGCGCCGGCTCCGACGACGGCACGTGCGCTTATCCTCGACACGTCTCCGGACACATTGGCCGACGATGCCAGCATATACGGCGTGGAAGATGATGCCCAGTCGTTTATGCAACCAACAATGAGCCCAATAGCCACGCGGCTGTCCCTGCCGCGGACACCGGCCGCCGAAAAAGCCATGGCCATGGATGATATTATTAATGCCAATATCGGTGCAGGCTTCAGCGACCCATACAAGCCGGCCGTGTCCTCACGACTCCATAGCGCAACCATATCGACTCCACCCTCGGCCCCGGCTCCGGCGGCACCGCCTCTTGCACCGGCCCATGAATCCAAGCCGAGCGCCATGTTGTCTGTTTTCCAGTCCGGCACACGCCATGGCCGTTCGTCATCCGTGGGATCTGATGCTCTTAAGCGCTTATCAAAAGCCCTACCTTCCATGCCCTCGATTGCTTCGCTTTCCTTCCCCAGCAAAAGCTCTTTCCTGCCCAGTCTGAGCACGCCCTCTTTCTTTTCCTCCTCAAATGCTGGCAACAACAGTACCACATCCTCAGTACAGAACTTGCCGCCCTCCTCTTGGAAGATCTCACCACAAGACTCCCCAACACGGGCAAGTGACCACAACCAGGCAGGGGTCCAGCGGACACTTAAGACGTCCGACCCAGACCCGAACTCTCGCCCTCGAACCTCGCATATGGCCACAGTTACCACGTCCCAGACCAATTCGCCTGCTGGTGACTTATCGGATACAATTTCTGGGCGGCTGCCGCTGAACCGGCCGCCGTCTGTTGCCTCGAAGCGCTCCTATGTCTTGCGCCGGTCGACGTCCGACGACTCTCTCTTGTACCACACCCTCTCACGAGTACCGTCGCATGGCGACGAGGCACAATTTGTACATATTCGTGAACAAGTCAACTCTCGCATGAAGGCCATCATGGACAGCTTTGACAGGCCGACGTTTAAAATGCCCCAGCTGCCCAGCTTCTTTCCCGACGCCAAGCACACCACAGCCCTTGTGCCACGCGAGCCGGCATCGCCTCTAGACGCTGCCCTCGAGGATCTCACCGGCGACATTGTTGTTCTTGGCGGCTATCGTGGCTCCATTCTTCGTTCTGCAGAGCCGCCACACCGTCAACTATGGGTGCCTGTCAAGGTCGGTCTCAATATCCGCAAAGTCAACATGGAAGTCGGCCTGGACCCGGAGGACGAGGAGAACATGCCGCAAACCATTTTCCCGTCGGGTATGCTCAAACACATTGGTCCCGTTGACATCTCACGCCGCCTGTTCAAGAAGCTGCGGGAGAGCGAAAACGCACGCAAGGGAACTCTGCGGGTCCACGACTACGGCTACGACTGGCGGCTAAGCCCGCACCGTCTTTCTAAACAGCTTATTGCCTTCCTGGAGTCGCTTCCCTGCAACCAGCCCGGCGCCAAGCCGGGCAGTCGTGGGGCCGTCGTCATCGCCCACAGCTTGGGCGGCCTTATTACGCGCCACGCCGTCAATCAGCGGCCTGATCTGTTTGGAGGCGTTATCTTCGCCGGCACGCCGCAGCGCTGCATCAACATCCTCGGTCCGCTACGCAACGGCGACGCTGTGCTGCTAAACGAAAAGGTCCTCACGGCGCAGGTCAACTTCACGCTGCGCACAACCTTTGTCTTTTTGCCCGAAGACGGGTTTTGCTTTGTCAACAGCAACGACGCGTCCGAGGAATACCGCGTCAACTTTTATGACATCAAAGAGTGGATGCGCTACCGCTGGTCACCCTGCGTTGCTCCAGCCGCACTGCCAGCCTTCCAGTCTCTCATGGGGAGCGGCAGCGGCATAGGCCTCAACCTTGGCTTGGATGGCAGTGGCCACGACTCCAGCCTGAGCAACAAGCGCAGCAGCACAAACTTTGGACGTGCCTTGACCGCTGCAGCAGCAGCAACAGCAAGCTTGGCCAAAGATCGCCTCAACGCGCCCCAGATGGACGCGGAGGGTGTCGTTGCCGACGATAACGCGGCAGAATCGTCGCACATGGTACTGCCTCCCGGACTGGCAACCACCTCGGGTGCTTCTGCAACCAACGAAGCTCTCGATGTCGCCTTTACCACAACCTCCTCGGCGCCCCCAACGCCACCTGCCGACCCCCAGCAGGCCCGTGCCGTCGCCTACCTGATCCGCACACTGGCCGAGACGAAGCAGTTCCGTGCCGAGATGGCTCACCGTCCCGAACACACGGCCGCCAACGTCTACCCACCCATGGCCGTGATCTACGGTAAGGGCACACCCACGGTCTACGCGGCGCGCGTCGGCAGCCGTGCCGCCATTGCCTGCGCAGACGCATACGATGACCTTGTGTTCCGGACCGGCGATGGCGTCGTCCTGGCACGCGAAGCCCAGCTGCCGCCCGGGTACCACTACGTGCGCGACGGCTACGTCAGCACCGACCGCGGCCATGTGGGGATGCTGGGTGACCTCAATGCCGTAGGCAAGGCACTTGCGGCCGTTGTACGAGGCCGCCAAAAGGGCATCGGCCACGGTCTTGAGCGGACTCACTCGAAAGTGACCGACCAGGTGTCCGATCTGCCGTCCGGTCATGTGCACCAGAACCTGCAAACACCAGCTCCCTTGCCCACAATAACAACCACTGCACCCACGGCTGTGGGCACGGCATCTTTTTCTCAGACTGTCAGCACAAGTATTGAGGCGACATCCTAGAGTCTGGCCGTCTTTTTTACGGTCGTTTTGTTAAATATCATTTGGTTTTTGCGCCTTGATTTTTGTACATACATATTGCGACTGCTTATCATTTTACGAAGGGACGAAAATGATATATCAGAAGCCCTATTTTTTGTCATCATTGGAAACAGATACCTTTTGAGATTACCGTTACTACATGACTTCATGCATTGTTGTATATATCGGAGAATTAGTTTTGGTTGTTGAATCTGCATTCCATACATGAACCCTGACCTTGACCGTGTCCCCAGTTCATCTCCCCAAACCCAATCCCTGTCATTATCCCGTACCCGTATTCATTAAACCATTGTGGCGATGTACCAACCTAATAAGCAAAACAGGAAAACAAAAACGAAATCACATAATCTACCGCCGCGACCGACGGCTACTGCACGCTGCAGAAGGCACACCAGTCGACCTGCAATCGCGAGAGTTGCTCCTTCGCAAAGGGACATTGCCTCCGCGCTGGTCGGCACAAAATTCACATGCGGACGGAGCGGCAGTGCTACTGCTGCTTCTGTTCTGGCAGCACATCACCGTCGACAGAGCCTTGTGCTTGGCCAGCTTTTGCTGCTTGTCGGGAGACTGGCTTGACGTTTTCGGCTCGCAGCATGCCTTGCCGTCCAACTGCACGCCGCGACTGCGCGTTGTCACTGCTGTCGGTCACCAAGATGCGCCACCGTGGCGGCGTCCAGTCCGGTGCGGCGGCGCAGACACGGCGCAGGGCAGTGCGCATGTGGAGGGCCAGGTGGCTCGTGGCCGCGGCGGCCGGACGTTCCGTGCCGGCGTTGGGGTCGGTTGTAGCGGATTCCGCCTCCACCACCGTGGCACCGACACGCCCCACCAGATTCTCCTCGAGTGGCACCACAAAGAGCTCGCGCAAATTCGGCAGCCGTGTGCGCAGCTGGTGCAGCACATCGACTGCGAGGTTGGTCGACGCTGGCGACGTCGATGACGACAAAGGCGACAAGGACGACGCGGTCAAAGCGGACGAAGAGGGCAATCTTTGCCGGTCCAGAATCCCCTCACTCAGGGCGACCCGCTCCACCAGTGTCAGCTCCTCTGGATCTGCCAGCACAAGCAGTGTGCGCAACTGCGCCTCGGCGGCCATGTAGCCGTCGCGGGGGCCAAAGTACAAGATGTCGCGCTCAGGGTCGAAGTAGACGTGTCCCGGTTGGCGGGCGATGCCAAACATGCGGGCATAGCGGCGCAAGGCTTCGACGCGGGACTCGTGGCACACATGAAGGTTTGGCGGGAGCGGCGCCGGGGAGGTGCACCAGCAGGGCGGGGAGGAGGTTGTGGACGGAGGTGGCGGTACAGACTGTGGCGGTGGCGGCGGTGGTGGTGGCGGTGACGGCGAAGGTGATTGCAACGGGGAGGTTAAGCGCAACGGGGATGGCGATGATGACGACGACGCGGGGGACGAGCAAGCGGGACTGCAGGCAGTGCAATCATCCAATGCGTGGCCGCGCCGTCTTGGTGACAGGGACGATGAGGACGGCGAGGACGAAGACGGCGAGGGCAATGGTGTCTTGGCACCGCAGCGCACAGAAACGATGCGCGGTGCAGGCAGGCTGTATTCCCAAATCTTGAGCCGCAGCTCTGGTGGTAGTTGGGAGAACCGTGGCTGGTTGGGAGCAGATGTTAGCCAAACAAAAAACTCCATGGTACATTCTACCTGTCCGCACTTGGCAAACGTACAAATGTTTGAGTCTGTGTTGGACACTGTGCTTCGTCTTGCCGCATTGTCCTTCCGCAACTTGCCATAGCTTTGTATGACGGGTGGTCTATTGTACTGGAAGGGCTCGACCGGTCATGTACCGTCTATTTGCCGATTTGTAGGCAATCTTGAAGTGCTCAGGCAATATCAAATCAAAGTGGCCGAAGTACTGGATGAATAGACACAGAAAACGCCAAAGTGTACAAAGGACGCTTGAGCTTTTAATATACTCGTAGAAATGTAGGTGAGGCCCGTTTTATGGACAAGGTGAGATCAATTCTGACACCAGAAATGTACGTACTCAAGAGATAAATAAATCACTAAATTATATATATATAGAATGTTCAAGACTGATGCAAATGGCCAAAGTTGGGTAACACACAGACCGGGCCAGGAACTGCAAGCAGTTAGAGTGCGGCGGAGAAAATACACGGAGATGCATAAGCTGTAGGAAAGATAATGTTACCGAGACTGACGACTAATGACTGACTGACAGAAAACAGAAGACAGAAGAAGGCCGTGCGCGGATGCCCGTAGGACAATGCAAGGTTAGCAGGATGCTCTTCTTCGGCATCCCAGTGGTTGCTGATTTGGACAGTTTTATTCGAGCTCAAGCCAGAGACAGACACAGTCGGGAAGTCCCTTCTGGAGGGGAGAGAGAGAAAGTGTATGTACAATAGTATGTGACGGACAATAGACTAGAAAAAAAAAAGTGAGGATATAGCGAGGAGAGGACAAGGAAAGGTTTCCAGGGGACAGGGGCGGCATGTCGGTCAGAGAATGGCTATGGCAGACGTGTACAACCTGAGAATAGGTAGAGGAGTACAGTCGTCTGTAAATGCGAGCAAGACCGAAGATGCTCGTCGCGATCCCTCGATCCCTACGTCAAAGGAGGGTATGGTAGGATCGACGAATGAAAAAGAACAACATACAAGAGATGTGAAAGGCTTGAGGGCGCAACATGAGAACTGCCCCTTTTGTCGGCTCCGGGACGCTTGGGTCGGGAAAGCAAATGTGTGCAACGCAACTTGAGTAACCTATCGCATCTGACGGGCTTTGTTCCATTGTTGTCGACGGTTTTCTTGATATCTTTGGTTATCGTCTTCGTTGTATTGCTGTGTGGGCAGTACCGTCCATCCCAGCACAACAAGATAATGGTCAGCGAATGATGGAGGCAATGGTGCTGGAGGAATAAAACTCAAACACTCTGCAGACACTGCAATATACCATAGCAGCAGACAGGGATGGTGCAATAAACCTAAACAGAATTAATCAAGCATGCAGGACCCGGGACGGCGTCTCGGGAAAAACTGAGGGAACACGCGGTGGGAAAGGGGAGGGATGAGGAATGGCGTGAGAAGGGAGCGGAAGGAGTACAGAGGGGGTTGTGAGCAGGGGTAATGTCATGATGTTGAGAAAGACGAGGCCTTGGGGGCAGCGAAAAGTGAGCAAGAAAATACTGAAGAAAGGACCAAAAACAGACATGTTTGAAAATTCGTGGCGCATGGAACCTCCCGAGAAGTCGTTTCTCGCAAAGGACGATGTGATTGACCTCCACTCTTCTGGTCGCCGCAATGTGATTTCGGAATCAAAATACAATACGGACGAGACTGAAAAGAGCACGAGAGGATGTCCCGAGTCATCGCGGCTCTCAGTCCTATCCGCCGCTCAAAACCACAACCACCACCACACGTCCCATCACATACGTTGCACATTGTACTTTCTCCCTTTCTGGGCCACATCCACGCTGCCACACGCTTTCCAGTCCCAGAGACCCGGAGTCGGGACACGACATATGGCAGGGGTAAGTCGCGCAAGAAGGATTGGACCGCGTCTTCGCGTCTGGTTACTATCCAGCATATTATGTCTTGCCTGGTGTTGTGTTTTGGGATCTCCGTCTTCGTTTCTGTCTCTCCATTTACACTCTCTGCTCTTCACTTCCTTCATACGACTCTGCTGTCGTGTTCTGTGCGACCGCCCCGTCCGCCGGTATCTTGTTGACTTTGTCCTGTCGCTTCTGTGCCTCTGCTTTTCTGCTTTCTCTTCTAATCTTCTTGTCCACACGACGACGACTTATGCATTCACAGTCCCACAGTCCATCTATCCCGGCGGGTACATGCAGCATACTACATCTTACGACATACCAGACCCTTGCACCGGACGTACGAAGAGGTGTTTTGACGGTCTGGCGTCCAGGCGTGCAGTGTTCAAGTCGTCAGGGGATTTTCTCTGAGTCTCGCCTTTCCGTTGTCTCTCCTTTCTGTCTTCTCGCGCACAATCTATCCTAATCCAGAACACACCTGGTCGTTTCTGCCACGCCTTTCTTTCAGACCAGCACGTATATTGTTACGTCCACTTTTGATCCAACTATTTTGCAACGCTTATATCATGTCGGACAAGCTCTGTAAACAGGGCGTCGGATTTGCCGAAAGTCGTCGACTAGGACATGGACGTGAGGCAAAACGAAATGACCTCAACTGGGAAACTGGCACAAAATTCACAACGACAATTTTTTTTAAAAAAATAAAAAAATCGCAAGAGTTTTGACAAAAAAATAAAAAATAATGATGAGAGTGGGACTTGAACCCACGCGGATTGCTCCATAGGAACCTTAATCCTACGCCATAACCAACTCGGCCATCTCACCGTGATTCTTAACGCCGTATGGGTTCAATTTGCCTCCATATACGACGGTCGCAAATAGCGCGATTTCTCTTTTTTTTTCCCGACGTTCTCATTTCTTGTCTTCTCCCTGTTCTCTCTCCGCCCGTTACCCCTTTTTTGTCGACCTTGCCAGGATTGTTACGAAATGCTTGGTAACCTCGGCAGGAGATTTTTTTTTAAACCTCGAGGCACGCCCTCTGCTTTGACCCTCTCTGTCCTGCTTCGCCTTAAGGGATGAACGACGGCCAAGCAGAACCTGCATCCGACGCATCCTGGACGCCTTTGAATGACGTGAACCGGGCGCCGCAATCCTGCCCATACCGACACCAAGGTTCTGGGCCTGTCTCGTCCCGCTCCGCGCGCACCAGTCTCTCGGGACTGCATGGTGGCTTGTGTTGTGCTTTTTGCTTTCTGTGCTTCCTGTAGGCCATTCTTTTCTCGTCTACTCCATTCCGGTAGGGACGATAATTGGTTTTTTATTGTCCTTTGCATAAAAGCACATGCTTCGTATTTCAGCTGCTCTCTCCATTTTTCCCTCTCGTCCCTGGACGGTGCGGCTGCTAGACGGTCGTTTTGCCGACCCGCTGGGCAACCAGGAGAGGATGTACATTTGACTGTAAGTAAAAGAACCTTGGCTAGAGAAAGGCTTGATAGGAGATATGGCAGCTTCACAGGGGCTGACAGAAACACTGGGCATGCAAAGCTAGTGTTGTGGCAAGGGAACAGGGGCAGGAAGTAAAAAATGCAAATGGGAACGGCCACAGGGACAGGAAATATCCCGTGTTGTGCTGCACAGCTTTAGTCCTGTTGTAAAGTCGTGGCAAAAGTCGTGTCACCGGGAAAGAAGACCAGAGAGTGAAATGAGAGACTATGGCGAGACTGGAACAAACTGCTAATTGTGATTATGTCGAGATAGCGGTACTGTTTTATTTTATTTTAAATTATATTCTATTTCAAAGTCCGATTTTCGTCTTCGTCGTCTTCTTGGTGAGCACCACAATCATACCTGATGGCTATTGTCGAGATGTTGATATCGGATCGCAGTGTCGTGTAGTCCATCGTCGTTTCTGACTCGAGGTTCACATCTACATTCCATTTTTTTATTCACAATAAAGGTACTTAGACTTCTGTTTTCAGTCGCGATTGATTCACCCCCGGTGCGGATTTCTTTCAAAATAAAATAAAAAAACAGTCCGACGGCCTTATAAAAAATTCTTATTGATCACTAAGCTATGACTGTTGCACTAAAACAGCTGATACTATTCTTTCGCTCCTACAAAAATAGACCAGCAACAAACAGCTACATTTATTTACCTTTCCCATCCCTGAAATAGAATCTTCGTGCCGCTCTCTACCACCCTCTTCTCGGGTTCACGATAAGTCAAAAACACCCACGTGACTAGATTCCTTGTTGCGCCACAAACTTTCCCTTTTTCGTGTTCAGGGCCACTGTCATTAGATTGTTTGTTTTCTTATTTTACATCCTCCACCTGTGTCCTTCTGCAATCTGCACTGGCCGTCACAAATGAGACCGATACGTACCGTCACGACAGGAGATGCCCACAAATAGAAACGCCCCCAAGACTGGAGCAGCGGCCGAAGCGCCAGCCACTCGGGAGATCGACAGCGCCTGGCTGCACTGATTGGTCCACGCAACAGCTAAGCGCCAGCGCCCCTGCTGCTGTTTCTTTCCCTCTGTTTTTTCGTTCATTCCCAAGCAGACCAATCTGCGTTCGCCAGTCTGCTTGAAACGAATCGTTTCAAGCTCCCCATAATTCGTACTGACCCTGCATCCCCAAACGCGCGCGTTGATGCCGCCTCGCCAGCCATGCCGACAGACGGGATCTCATTCGCGGAAGGCATACTTGGCTCCCTTTTGGAGAAAGCAAGCCCAGCCAACGTTGCGGATGCTCAAGGAGCAGACGACTTCCAACTGGACGCATGCCAGCCACTCCTTTGCAGAGTCCGGAAATGATCCCGAATCGAGGTGGGATCTGAGGTCGATCCGCTGTGCCAGTAGGCAGAGAGAGTATTAGGATGGTGGTGGGGCCAATTCCTTCCCCTCGCGGCGCCTGTCTCGATGCCGGGATGGAAGCCATTTGGTATGGTGATGGTTGCTTTGACGAGTGCATTTGCCGCCGGCCACTGGACGGCCTACCTTTTGATAAGCAGCGCTCGAGCGGCGTTCCACACTTCTCCAAAGACTGCACGTTTTTGTCGCAGAGAGAAGCATGCCGGGCGGCTACCCCTAGGTAGCTGGCGACCAAAAAAAGAACTAAGCAAGGGTTGTGAGGAGGTTGGCGATGGCGGACAAATGAGAAACAAGAGGCACGCAACTCGACTTGCAGGGTCGACGACTTTGAAAACCTTATTTGAAGGTCCTCCCCGTCAGCCATCGCCATCGTTCTTTTCAGTCACAGCTGGTTTCTCATCTTTGTTCTCACTTGCTTCTTTTGTCGTCTTGCTCCCTTTTTGACGTTCACTTCTTGGGCCGGCCTCTGTTCCTGGCGAACTTGAAAACCTTCATTACAGCATCACCAACTCTTTAAGTTTCTCTCTTTTTTTCACCCATTCGTCGCCATGTCTGTCGAAAAGAAGCCCAACCACTCGTCCGAGTTCGAGGTCGACTCGACGCACAACAGCCAGCACAGCCACCTCCACGAGAACGACGCCCACCTCAACGCAAAGCGCCGCAACCTCCGTGCGCTTGACACCGCCCGCGCCGCCGCCACGCTGCTCGCCCTCCTCATGGGCCTCGCCGTCTTGGGCACCACCGGCCATGCCCTGCAGGCCTACAACTCGTCGTCGCCCCGTGACGCCGCCTGGCTGTCCGTCTGGCCCAATGCGGGCGCCTTCGACGTCAAGCCCACCGTCGCTCTCGTTGCCGGCGCGTCCCTCGTCGTCCTCGCTAACCTCATCGCGCTGACGAGCCACCACCGTTTTGTAAGCCCCTCTTGTATCCTTTCTGTCCTCACCTTCCTTCCTCGCTACGCTTGCCATTCTTTCTTTGTCCTCGCTACGCTCGCTTTTCTTTTTGTCCTCGCTACGCTCGCTTGCTCGTCAGTCGCTAACATGACAGGTCCGTGCCAAACTCGCCAATGCCCACGCCCACACGCCGCTCACCTTCTCTGCCCCCTTTGTCGGCCTCGTCGCCGCCATTGTCGCCGTCATTCTCTTTTACGTCGCCAACCGCTCGGCCACTGCCGACACTCTCCTCTCCTGGAGCTGCCGCTGGCGCCACCTCGCGACCGCCCACCCGGCGCCCCAGTTCGCCTCCCTCTGCCGAGCCAGCCATGCCGGCGTCGACCTCGCCATCCTTCTTATTCCCGTCGAGTTTCTCGCCCTCGCCCTTGCCGGCGTCCAGCTCAAGATCGAGCGCTACACCACGGCATACGCGCACGCACGCAAGACGCCGAGTCCCGTTTTGTCGTAAGTGGGCGATCGAGACGTGCCGGGTTCATTGCCCTCTTTCTCGGCGAAACCCCGTGTCTCTGCCGCGCTCCTCCCTAATCTTCGGCGTCCTCTCCCGTGGAGATACTGTGTTGGGGAACACAGCCTCGTCTCCTTCGTGTCCCGTACCCTAGACTTCTCATGGTCGGTTTGGTGGGCTAGGTGTTGTTGTATCTTACATGTTCCTGCTCTGGATTTTATACTCCTTTTTATTATCGTGTACTGGTTCTTGGTCGTGGGTAGGCATGTTGGCATATGGAGTTGTTAATGTGTCTCTTTTGTATCCTTTCTTTGCATTTGGCTTACGTCGCGAATGGAATAAAATATGAATTTGTCACTAAATACATGGCAAAATGATCACAGCTACCGCAAGCACCCATCACGACTATGGCCTGCATTAAAGTGAACATCGCCCAGGAAACAACATGCAGCCTCCCGTTCTGGAGACCTTGACCACGTCAGCATCCGGTGTAGCAGATAAAGACTGCGCTGTCAACATCAAACAAGAAACAAGAAAATAACCAAAGGAAACCGTTGCCACCCGCAGCAAGAAGCCGGGGCCAGACTACGGAGTGCAGAGCGGGTCTGCGATACCGTCATTTTACGACACTTTTCGCCCACCTGGCGGCGTATTTCTTCCGTCCAGTCACCGTGCGGACACATCTTCCCCTGTGAAAAGGAACAAGAAAGATATGTAGGAGCTGGCCCCTTACTGAATGACCCTTACGAAATCCCAGCCTCGGAACTCGTACCTTTTCGACACTTTGACAGATATCGCCTGTCAGCCACCCCTCGTGGACGAAAAAAAGAAAAGCAACGCTTGGCCAATTGTCTACTCTTTCATTTTCTATCTCACCTTTCTGTCAGGGACCATCTTCCTACGCCCTTCGGGTAATCCTCCCTGGTTCCGTGTCTCGCTTGCGCCGCTGGGGTGACACGAGCTGTTGGAAAACGAGAGAGGATGAGGACGGCAGGAGGCAGGATGCAAGAGCATACTAAATAAAAAATGAGGTGGAAAGCAAGAAAGAAAGCTGGACAGAGAGACACTTGTTTCTCTTTCCTTACAGCTCGCTCTTTACGCTGGAGATGAACTGGGCATGGCAAATGGCGTGGTTTAGGTTTCGGTGCAGTGAAGTGAAGTGTGTCACGAACTGAGTCCTGCCTCTGGTGTATTGCGGCCTTGTCACCTTAGTATTGCTCTTCCTGAATGCAAAATGGCACATTCACTAAAAGGCCTCCTCACTCTCACTTCCTTCAACCACTGTCATCCGCCATGTGGCACAACCCGTCGACCAGAGGTCTTGACAACCCGACCTCTTTCTTTTGCTCTGCTTTTTTAACCCCTCTCTGTGCATAGTTACTCGACGGGCGGCCTTGTGCTATTGCCAACTTGTCAAAATACCCACCTGTCACTTATTTTGTGCCTCCTTTTGTTTGTGTCCTTGTGCATCGAGAATGAATGGACTGGGCGTGATTCCTCATCGTTTAACACCTCAGCAATGTATCTATCCATGACCTCTTGTTGAACATCCACCTCGTTGCCCGCCGCAGTCGTATATCGCTACGTGCAGAGGATTGTCTTCCCAGTCCGAGCATCGGCTCCTTGCTCCTCTTCTTCCTTGCTCGCGTCATATTCCAAGCTTTGATTTTCTTTCCTAGTTTGCTTCCCCGTCCTGCCGCAGTCCTCGCTCCAGCCTCTCTCTACCCTAGTCTGAAGCCTGGGTCGTGCATTTGTCTGTTTCTCCGTCTGGCTGGGGTGAGTTTCTACGTTGCCATATTTCGCCCTGCCAGACTTAGACGACCCTGCATATATCATATCCGAGAACAGCTGGGTCGGAGAGGACGTGGAGTGTGCTGTCTTGGAAGACGACAACACGCCAAAGGGATCGAAAGGTGGAAGGAAGAAAAAGAAAAAGGAAAACAGCAAAAGTTTTCGCAGAATTGGCGCGAGGGCACATTTTAACCAAAAGCGAATGCTGGACTCCCCACCCATTCCTCTTTCTCTTTCTTTTGTAGCCTCTACATCGCCACAAGGTTGCAAACGGCCCTAGGCACGACAAACAAACGGACAAAAGAGCCATCGTTGGTCCAGTCCTACCACCTTGGTTGATGAGACACAAAAACGCCTTCAAAACGACACCCACGCTCCGGACAAACCTACCCCAAGAAAAGCAGTCCGATTTTCACAGATAATCATCCCAGTCTACATCTACGACATGGCTACCGCTACGGGCATCGAACAGTCACTGTCGTTGCCAACACAGGCACAGACCAAGATACCGGCAAAGACACGCACGCAGGGAATTAAGGATCAACCCCAAGTCCAGGCACATGCCCAGGTCCCGGTCCAGGCCCCCGCAAAGCCACAGATCCAGAAGCGACCGATAGCATCGACCGCAATGTCGGCACCGGCAAAGGATACCAGAAAGCCTGTGAATGGAGCAGTGAAACGGGACAGCGGCCACTGCAATGGCAGCAACAACAGCAGCATCAGTGACGGGCCGGAGAGCATGACGACACACGCCAACCATAAGCACGGCAGCGCCAGTAGCAACGGCAGCAGCAGCATCGAGGAGGTCAACATCAGTGGTCGTGGCAGCCGCAGTACGGACCTCTCCTTTTCCCAGCGCGCGGCCCAGATGTCTCGTGAGCCGAGACCCCTTCTCGTCAAGGGCGACCCCAATCTTCTACGCGACATTGATCGCCCGCCGCCGGGCGATCCGGCCACCACCACCACGGGAAGGAGACGGTCCATTCTTGGCGCCCCTTCCACCCTCGGGCCCAACATTGCCGACGGCCACCTGGGTCACCTGGGCCACCTCGCCCGCAAGCGCAGCCAGTACTTTGAAGACGCCTTTGCGACCCGCCGCGACGCCGACAACAGCCCGGCCAAGGAGCGCGTCCGCAGCGAAGCTCTTGTGTTGGCCGACGTCCGCACCAATGTCATTGTCGGCGACGAGTTTACCATCGTCACGGAGCTGTCGGCCCACCTCGCCCTGCGCTACCGCCGGCCCCTCTCGTCCATCGTCGTCACCCTCCAGCACGGTGCCTGCATGTGCTTCGGTGGCTCGTTTGCACCCGCGTACGTCATGTCCGTCTACGGCCTGCCGTCTCAGCTGCAGCCCACCACCAACAAGCGCAACGCGGCGCTGATCCAGCGGCACATGGAGGAGACGCTGGGCGTGCCGCCGGCGCGGGGCCACCTGCGGTTTGTCGCCGTACCGGAAGCGAACTTGGCGTACAGCGGCACGACGTCGCTGGGCCACGTAGACGATCTGGCGAGAGCAGGCGCGGGTGCGAGCAGCGGCGGTGGCGGCGGTGGCGGCGGCAGGCCGCTGTCCAGCAACGGCATGTACCGGTCACCCGTCGGCTCAGTCACGTCCCCGGCCGCCATGGCCATGACTGACGGGAGCTTGGGCCGAGGCCTGGGCAGCCGCAAGCACAAGACAGCGCGCAAACTGAGTGTCAAGGTACGTTTCGCATTTGTGGCCACCCATGTCTGTCAAACAACCACTAATCGTCAGTCTCTGTCGAGCTTCCGCTCGCCGTCGCCGTCGCCCCCGGAACTGACACCGCCGCCAAGTGCCGTCGACGAACACCCACCAGCGCCGCAGCTGCCCGCCATTCCGGAGCGGCCGGTCAAGGACGGGGATTCCGGAGGAAAGAAAAACAAGGCGCGGGTCTCGCCGGGCGTTCAGGTTGTCTCGGGGTTCAAGACACCGCCAACATCACCCACCGCCACGTCCGCGTCTGTCAATCACCAACAAAACCAACGCGCTCGGCGGACAAAGAGCTTTGTTGCGACCCTGTTTGGTCGATCGACGCCGAAACCAGAGGGAAATTTGTCGTAGAAAGGTGTGGGGGGGGGGGGGGGGGGGTTATAGCATGGCTATGGCTTTAAGGTTAGATAGATTAGGACATGACAGGACAGTAGCAATGAACAAGCTAAAGAATTGAAAGAAGCAGAGCAGGATCGGCTGCACTGAAGGTACGCAGAAGGATGCACCCCAAACGCTAAAAATACAGCTTCTGCGCTAGACGAAGAAGAATTAGGTAATACATTTGGGGGACGAGATGCCCCGCATACGTTTGCTTCAGCGAGTGGGGCGCTCTTGCTGTGTCATTGTGGTGGGCAGTCATGTAACTAGGATGTTCTCCAAGAGGGCGAGCAGCCGCACAAAAGCACAGCGGAAGGAGCTTTACACAAATATACAAGGGCAGGAAGGAGCGAGAGGACCGGCGCCCCTCTTCCCAAAGCCGGAGCTACCATCACGACAATGCGTTTCGACCTCTAACTTTTTCTTTCTGCCCGCAACACCACGACGACCGCTGCTGTTATTAGGCCCCATTCGCAATCGCAGCCCCATCTGTCCGATTGTCCCACTCCTCCCGAGACAAGCCCAGCTCGGGGACCCACGCAAGATAGAACAAGCAGCTGGCTGCCAAACTGCCTCGCGAACCAACAGCCGCTCGCTGTGTCAACCTTCTCTCACCCACATTCTCAGCCTCATATGCATTCTGTCGTCTAGCCACTGGAGTCTCGACCCTCACGTTCCGTCGACCCCAGCGTCCAGCACCTTTATACCCGTCTGGCCCCAGTGCGAGCCATTCCGTTTGGCATCGGCTCTCTCAACCTCCACCTCAGATTTCAAGCTGCCTGGGTTCGACAAGCTCTTCTCTCTCTACTAGTCTCGTCGTTCTCGTCAACTCGCGTTGGACCAAGCTGCAGCGGGAGGAACGCACACAAACGTTTCCGAGCGGGCATCCCGCCACACCCCTGCCCTTCTTCGTTTTTCCTTTCACCACATGGTCGTGCCCATCGACCAGGCACGACGACAGAAGCAACGATGGAGGTGAGTAACTAATAAACAGCAAACACACAAAGAACTACAACCGTACATGGCGCTTTACTCCGCGGTCCCGCTTGTCCTCTACTGTAGCCAAACTTCAACCATCAGGCGACTCGCTTTTGTCATTCCGTGTTCACCGTCTCGCCTCGTTTCACCGTCTCATTTGCACGGAATATCCTCCGTCCCATCCGTCCCTTTTGTCATCCCAATCCTTGTGTGTGACTCAAGTGCGTCGTTTGGCCTCTGGTCTCTGAGCACTTTCATTGATCTAGTTCACATCGTGCCACTAGACAGGCCCTTCCCTACCTCCACGCCCTCTCATCCCGTCCAATCCCATCCATCCTCATCTCACCGCCATGTCTTGTCAACTAGTCTGAGCCTACTGGCCTGCGCCTCTCAATCTCGTCCCTCGTACGGCCTCTCATACGCTCTCATGTCTCGCCCCGTGGCCGTTGTACAAGAGGCAAACAGGCAAACAGACAAACGCCACGGGCCGCAACGGGATGGCAACCTGGGTCGATGAGCCAGCCCGTTTCGGCCGGCAGGCAGAGTTGCAAGAGACGCTTCAGAGAGGCAACAGTTTTACATCTCCACCATCTGCTATTCGCCATTTGCAACTCACGCCGTTTGTCCCCGTGCAAGCGCACCCAATAAACGCCATGGTCAAACGATCGAAGCGGCGAAGCAATCAAACCGATCCGCCTAGAGCAACACAAAGCAAACCTTAAAAGACGGTTCTCATGCACATCGCCTCTTTCGGGCGCCGTTGTCAATGACCACAAAACACAAGGCACGAGACACTCGAAATCACAGCACACGGGCTCCTCTCGTCCTTGCCAGGAGCGACGAACCCGACCTGTCAGCTGTCTGGTTCATGTTGTTTCCTGCTCTTACTTCGTGTCCGATATGAAAGCTCACCACGGCTTGCGCGGCCTCCTCTTTTACATCCTCTTCTGTCCCCTGCCACATATCAGACACCGTCTCATCCATTGCCTCTTCCCTCAAACTATTGTTCACCGTCTCCCGCCAAAGCAAGACACTACTGCCGATAGCCCTCCTTGGAGCGTTTGCTCTCTTTCTTCTTTTCATTTTCAATGGTGTACAGGATTGCATTCTTCTCTTTTATTCTCTCAACTTTGAGCGCGGCTGTAATCTCCTGTGCCTACACATTATCTCAGAGCTCATGAACTCTCTCGTGTCTCGAGTCTGTCCTGATCAAACACACACCTCAACAAAATTGAGATTTCGGCCCTCTGCAATGTCGTTCCCTTCGCCTGGAGGACTTGTGCCAGTGGCCTCGTCCGTCTCGTCGTCATCCTCATCCTCATCGCATTCCTCCTCCAGAATCGATACCCCTTTGCACCCAGACCCGGCCCCAACCCCGACCACGTCTGCACCCGCCTCAACCGAGAGAGTCACCAGTCCAGCATTGCTAAACCTAGAACGTGTCTATGAACAGAACCGCCAACGAACCCAGAAGAGAGATGGCGCACCAAATGCGCCGGGTGCGCCCGTGACCGCCGCCAAACCATCAGAGCCTGCGGCGCCCGCGCCACCAAAGGGCAAACCGAGGCTGTTGCTCATGGGGCAAAGAGCGTGAGTATCCCCCTTTTCCCGTGTGTTGAGGAGCTATCTGTGTCGGATGATGTCGTCGTGTGGTCCAACCGCGTCTCCTACTTTTACTAACCGGTGCTTTTCGCCCCAATAGGAGCGGCAAGTCGTCCATATCGAGCGTCGTGTTCCACAAATTACCACCAAACGAGACGCTCTTTTTAGAATCGACCTCGAGGCTGCAGAAGGATGCCATGGCGTAAGTTACCAGTCCATATTCCCCTTGTCTCGCATCGCCCGACTGCGAAACTGGCCCACTGACCCTCCAGTTCGTTTATGGACTTTCAAGTATGGGACTTCCCCGGCCAGATCGACTATTTTGAGGGCAGCAGCTTCGACATGGACGCCATCTTTGGCGAGGTGGGCGCGCTCATCTGGGTCATCGACTCCCAGGACGACTACCTTGAGGCCGTCGCCCGCCTCAACAACACCATCCTCAACGTCCAGCGCAACTACCCCAACATCAACATCGAAGTCTTTGTCCACAAGGTCGACGGCCTGTCCGACGACTTCAAGATGGAAATCCACCGCGACATCATGATCCGCGTCCAGGACGAGCTGTCCGACCAGGGCTTTGAGAATGCCCCCGTCAACTTCCACCTCACCAGCATTTACGACCACAGCATCTTTGAGGCCTTTAGCAAGGTCATCCAGAAACTCATTCCGCGCCTCGGCCAGCTCGAGGCCATGCTGACGTCCCTGTGCCGCACCTGCCGCTTCGAAAAAGTCTACCTGTTCGACGTCCTCTCCAAAATCTACATTGCCACCGACAGCACGCCCGCCGAGATGGCCTCGTACGAGGTCTGCTCGGACTTTATCGACGGCATCATTGACATCACCGAGGTCTACGGCAGCTGGGCCCGTCCGGACGCCTACCACCAGCGCCTCGAGGCCGAGCAGCACCAGCCGCTCGCCGACCAGATCGCCTGCCCCTGGGCCGAGAGCTGCATTGTCCTGGCCGACGGCAGCAAGCCCATTCTGCTGCGCGAGGTCGACAAGTACCTGGCGCTGGTGGCCGTCATGAAGGAAGGCTCCTACGACAAGATCCCGCTCATCAATATCAACGTGGACGTGGTCGTCAAGGGCCTGACGGAGTTTTTCAAAATCACCAAGCAGAAGAAGTAGGCACAACGCCACCTAGCACGAACTTGGCGTTTTGGGCGTTTCCCTGTCCCTTTTTGTATATACGTACAATGTCACTTTGTTGTTTTGCCTTTCTTCCCCTTGTTCTTTTTTCTGCTGCTTTTCGTAGTAACTGGTCATATATATATACCTCACGTCATGTTTTCATATTCGCTTATCCTCTTCAAATTCGTGAAAACGCTCACTTGCGCAAACGGAAAGTACATAGTAATAATGTCTGTGGCTTATGCATTGTTACCAAACATTTCCTCCACGGACGGCAGCGAAAGCACCCGATGGGTCACACCGTCCGCATGCATCAAACATATGCGCGCCGGGGACCCACTACTGTCTCCAATGATGCTGTTCGTTGCGCTGCTATCGACGCCGCTGACGTGGTCAGACCCCGACCGCCTCGACCCTAGTACTTCCATCCGAACCACCCGGCTGTCGTTGTCGCCTTTGGCGAGTACGCCTGCGGACCAGCAGAGGCCATTCTCCGCCAACGGCACCGGTGGTAGTTCCTCTCCGTTGCCGTGGTAGGCTCCGTAGGTAATTTTGGGAGATTGAATCGGAACGACAACCAAGCGTGAGTCGCGGTCTACAAAAGTTAGTGTGACGGCATAACGACAGGACATCAGAGTCAGTTGAGGCAGCATCCAAGCACCTACCCTCTGCAGTTGCTGCCCATAGAATAAGCAGCAGGTTGGCACCGAGGAACTGAAAGTCCACAACGCGGCCACCAGCGCCAAGGTCCAAGACGCAGCCATGTGTTGAGACATCGGTCGTGACGCCCTCGGAGGTCGCGACTGTCGAACGGAAGAGGTAGACTGGATAGGAGACGAATGTTAGTGTCTTTTGATAGATATTAAGATATAGTATTGGAAAACGCACTCTTTTTCGGGTCATCCTTGGTCGAGAGAGCAGTAAAAGACAAGGCGTCTGCGCTGTCTTCTGGGTCCTGCTTAAAGGGTTAGTATTTAGCACGGTTATAAACTTGTTGTTGGTTTTCAAGGAGGACTCACAGGCTTTGCAATAGCCGTCATGGCCACTTCAGCTTTCTCGATGGGCTGGCCGACCGAAAGCCGTGTAAGGGGGCCAAAGTGGACGTGCCGCCGTCCAGACTCTGCAATGGTCTTGAGTACACTTTCGGATTGCGTCGAAAAGAGTCGTGTGAGGAAGCCAAACTGGGTGAATGCCTTGATGGGCTGTCCTTTGTCTTCGTCAACCGCTTCTTCGGTTCCTTCTCTGTCGCGGTCACCCGGGTG